GAAGCCAGAGGCTGGGTGTTGGCTTCCGGGCCAGCATCCCGCCTCCAGGCTTCCAGACCTGCACCACCCTTGGTCTCCCCCAGAGCCTGTCCGGAGGCTCCCGCTTTCTGCACCGGCTCCTGCAAGCCCCAGCCTCCCTCTGCAGGGCCTGCTTCCTGGTCTCTGGGACCCTCACTCCCCCTGCCGCCCCAGTCCCCGGATGCCAAAAAGGCGCCTGTTGGGCTGACTGATGGGAGCCACTCCCCAGGCCTCAGAGCTCCCGGCCTGGCCCTTGGCTCGCGAACCCAGTCCCCACCTTGGCTCCTTCCCAAGCCGAGGCCGGCAACGCTGGCTTCCCCCACAGATTAGGACAAATGCATGCACGTGGTGTGTCCGTCTGTCTTGCTGTGTGCCGTGTGTCAGGTGCTCATGCTGAGACCACGCTTGCTCTCCTTCTGGGCCCTGGGTGGGTGGGAGGAGCCCGAGGGGGGAGCCCAAAGTCGCCCAGCCCCGGTGGAAGGAGGGCCGGGAGCCTCCGTGCACAGGGCCTATGCCCCCAAGCCCCGACCCTGAGCCAATGGCTGTCCTGACCAGTCCCAGAAGGGGCGCCATGGGCGTGTCCCAGCCGGACAGACTAGAACTTTGGACATGTGCCCACATTGGCCACTTCCGAGTGGTCGGGGGGCCCCGAGGGAGCTGGCCTAGACCTGAGGGAAAGGGCCACACCCACATCTGTGAGCCACATCCCAAGGGCAGCCTCTGTGCCATGAGCCTCCCTGCCCTCCCGGTTCCCCTGCCCCAGCCCCGGTGCCCCTGGCTCTGGCAGGCCGCATGCCCACAGGTGTCCTGTGTGTCAAGACTGAGCCCTCCTCTTGGTGTTCAGCTCCTCTCTGGTCTGCTACAGGCGGTGACGCAGCCTCCAACAATGACCCCGAGATGGATGGGGAAGACGGAGTGTCCTTCATCAGTCCCCTGGGTATCCTGTACACCCCGGCCTTAAAAGGTATCCCTCGCCAGGTAGTGGAACAAGCTCCTTGGCCCAGGCCTCCCAGCAAGCTAACTTGGGGCCACTGGCGTGTGTCCAGGACACAAGGGCACCGTGACAGGTCCTGGCAGGCACATCTTCCCATGGCTCAGCTCACCAGGTTTCCTGGAAATCGGGATGTGTGGTCCAGTGTAGACACGGGGGCAGAATACCCCCACCAGGTAGGCCACAGTATGGACATGGCAATCACCCCTGCCTTCCTGTGCCTGCTGAGCCCTGAACACACATGTGCAGTCACACATACACACACACACACACACACACACACACACACACACACACACACACACACACACACACACACGTGGGCATCCGTGGTCTGTCCCCTCACCAGCCACACCAGTCGCCTTCCCCACAGAGAGGCAAGATTGATGGCCAGGGAACCCATAAGCAGGGACCAGGGAGCCCTGTGGCCAGCAGTGGACATAGCACAAAGGCTGGGGAGGGCGCGGGGAGGCTGCCCAGGTCAGTCCGAGACGCACGCCCTGCTTGTCCCCAGTGATGGAGGGCCACGGGGAAGTGAACATTAAGCACTACCTGAACTGTAGCCACTGTGAGGTGGACGAGTGCCACGTGGACCCTGAGAGCCACAAGGTCATCTGCTTCTGTGACCATGGGACAGTGCTGGCCGAGGACGGCGTCTCCTGCGTGGGTAAGTGGGTAGAACGGGACGGGCCTGGACTCAGTCGTGTACAACTTTTGGCCCTCCCCTACCTGCCCCCACAGCACTCTGACCCTGGGCAGTGGGACTCAAGCACAGAAGGTGCTGCGGCTCCCGAGGGTGGCTTGTGCGTCCTGAAGCTCCCTCTGCAGCCCAGACCATGAGCATTCGGACATCCCACCAGGGGCCATCCCGTCTCCACTCAAGTGCCCCAGGGACAGAGCCTGGCTGCTTTCAAGACCGTGCTCCCTCAGGGAGCTTGAGGGCCGGCCCCATCCCTGTCAGGTCCTCCCCGGGTTCCTCACCTGAGCAGCCTTCCCTGGGCTGCAGGTGGAGACAGCACCCCCCTCCTTCAAGGGCCCCAGCCTGCTCTGAGCTGTTCATACAAGAGGCGTTTTATGTCTCCCCCGAACTGGGGTTCCTTTCTGCACACATTCCAGTTGACAGTGTCCCTCTTGAGATACAGTGTCCCTCTTGAGATGCAGTGTCCAGTACAAGTGCAAGGCCTCCATGTGGCCTGGCCTGCAGAGGGCACAGGAGCTCCTGAGTGCTCAAGGCCCAGGGCCCAGGGCACCCAGAAGTCCTTCAGCTTCAGGGTGTCGCTATCGGCCAGAGCATCTGGTCACATGGAGGACGGTTGCCAAAGACCCCACATTTCTCGGTATCTACCTATTCCTCCGTCCTCAGCCTGTGGTTGCCCAGTGTGGTTGTTTTGGGACATCAAGAATCTGATATCCACCCCTGCCAGTTCCCCTTCACCCAAAGGCTGCCACTGACACCTGTAGAAGTGGGGTGACCCTAGTCCCACCCACAGTCCTTGGAAAGGCAGTGACCAGGTCTCCAGGGAGGGAAGGAGCGGGCGGCTTTTGTCCTGACTGGGGGTAGCCCTGGGACTGGTCCCCGGGAGAGCTGTGTGGTCATCTGTGCCCGCTGGGTCCCTGGGAAAGCCATGTGGTCATCAGTGCCCACTGGTCACCTCTGGGAGAGCCGCGTAGTCCTCAGTGCCTGCCGGGCCTGTCTTGCAGCGTCACCCACCCCGGAGCCCCGCCTGCCACTCTCACTGATTCTCTCGGTCGTGACCTCCGCCCTGGTGGCCGCCCTGGTCCTGACTTTCTCAGGCATCATGATCGGTGAGTGCGCCAGGAACCATGCTCCCCAGGTCAGGGGGTCAGGGGAGCAGGTCTGAATGATGCTCCAGGCAGCGCTCGGTCCTGCTGGTCCCTGGAACTGGTTACCTGGTGACGAGAGCGGCCCCGGCCAAGCCTCAGCAGAAGCCCCAGCCATCCGCACCAGATGAGGGCAGCTCCCTCAGGAGCCCGACTCTGAGTCCCAGCCCCGGGTGTGGCCTCCCAGCCTCAAGGGGCACTCTTCCAAGGCCAAGCCCACCACCCCAGACTTCCCTCAGCTCTCGAGGGCTCCAGCGGGCACGGCTCCCGGCACCACTCACTCTCTGTAGCCTTCCAGCTTCACTCACCCCAGAGCCCCCCAGGCAGAGAGATGGCTCCTGAGCGTGTTTGCTCGGCCAGTGAGCCAAAGTGGGCGGACCTGCAGGCCACAGATGGCTCCACGGGACCCAGCCGACACTCGACACTCCCTGCTAAGACCCCAGGACAGAGGGGCAGAGCGTGGAGAGGCGGGCGAGAGGGCCCTCAAGGCCAACCCCACCTTCCTCCCACTCCCCTGGTAGGCATTTCCTCTAATAAAACCCTGGCCCATCTAATCCCACCGGATCTGCTTCTTGGAGGACCCAGACCCGCACTCCTCTGCCTGTGTGATGCAACAAGGTCCTCTCCGTGGGTGTGAGCTCAAGCTTTACGCCGCAAGGCCTCCGTCAGAAATCCACCTCCCACCTGCAGTCACATGGCTAGTCTTATAGTGGAAAGGCTCAGCGCTGGGGAGGAGGTGAAGACTCGGTGGGGGGCTTCCTGGAGGAGGTGGCCGTTGGGGTTGCAGCTGGCTGCCTGCCCACAGTGTACCGCCGGAAGCACCAGGAGCTGCAGGCCATGCAGATGGAGCTGCAGAGCCCCGAGTACAAGCTGAGTAAGCTCCGCACGTCCACCATCATGACCGACTACAACCCCAACTACTGCTTTGCCGGCAAGACCTCGTCCATCAGCGACCTGAAGGAGGTGCCACGGAGGCACATCACCCTCCTGCGGTGAGGCCGCGCTGTCGGGAGGGGTGCGGCGTGGGGCTGGGTGACACCGCAGCACCCCGAGGCCTGCGGAGACCCAGGAGCTGGGTGCGACGTCCAGGGCCACAGGGGCGCTGGCCTGTGCCACACCCTGATGTCCAGGAGCGCACTCAGTGAGGGGAGGGCTGGGGAGGGCCAGGGCTGTCCTGGAAGCCCATCCGGGTACCCTCCCGACCCTCCCGGCCCTCCCCACTCAGGGGCAAGGGGCCCCCAGCTTCCAGGCCCCAAATGTTCCTCTGTCACCCGACAAGACCCCTAGCCATGTCCGCCCGCGATAAGTCCCCTCCCAAGGAGAGTGAGCCTTGGTTTTATCACCTCTGTCGCTGGCACCTGTCAAAGACTTGGTCCCTGATGAATGAATAAAGCCCGTGCCGTTGTCCTGAGTCTTGGTGGGACTTTCCTACCTGAGTTCAGATGCAGACAGGGAGGCCGGGCCCAGAGGGAGGCCAGCCTGAGGGATGCCCCTGGGTATGCGTGCTCCCCACCCACCCGAGTCCACCTACTCACGGTGGCCCTAGCCTGGGCCCTGGCTGCCTCACGTCATGGCCTGTAGGACACTGCCTCACCGTGTGGTCCCTCCACCCAGGGGCCTGGGCCACGGCGCGTTCGGGGAGGTGTACGAAGGCCAGGTGTCCGGAGGGCCCAGCGACCCCAGCCCCCTACAAGTGGCCGTGAAGGTAGGAGGCGTCCCTCTTGGCCAGCCCCCACCCGCGGTCCCTGCAGACCACTGCCTGGCTCACAGCCGTCCCCCCCACATTCTGTCCCAGACACTGCCTGAGGTGTGCTCTGAGCAGGACGAGCTAGATTTCCTCATGGAAGCCCTCATCATCAGGTAGGCCACCGAGGCACACCTGCCCGACATCCCTCCCCCTGCAGGGCACACCCATGTCTCCTGTCACCTCTTCCCTGAGTGAACAACCCCCGCGCTGTCTCGGTAAAAGTCCTGCGGCCCAGTCATGCCGCTGCCGTCTCTCTGCCTCCACCAGTGTCCCCGTTGGTACCCATGGCCGTTGTCGCCCCACTCCCTCCTGAGACAGAGCATATGGCCTCCTGACAGAAACAGAAATCCCCTCCCTCCAAGGACCTGGGGTCTAGCCTTAGATGCCCCACCCTGGGCCTGCATGGTCGGCAGGGCTGTGTCTCTGCGTGGGCCCTCCGCCTTGTGGCTCCAGGGTCTGGACTTCAATGGAGAAACCCTGGGCCGAGACCCTCGGGACAGCTGTGCCATTAGCGGGTCCCTCGAGGAGGAGTAAGTTGCCTGGCCTCCAGGCTGGGAGGGGCTCCTGGCCCCAGTTGCAGGGGGAAACTCTGGACCCCCTGACAGGCAGGGGCAGCCTGGGGGTCCCTGTGGAAGAGGCAGGGGAATGAGGCTAGGCCGCATGAGTGACACAGCTGTGGGGGCTGGAAGCACACGAGCTGACACATGACCAGTGTGGGGTCCACACCGGGCTATCATTTATATTCCAGTTATCCGTGCAGTGCGTGATTGTTGACCAAACATTGCCATGTATGAGGTCGCAGGGCAGGAGGCCCCAGCCACTCAGCCTCACCACTTGTTGATCACTCAGCCTCAGGCGTGGCATGGGGCCACCCGTCTTCCCACTGTGTGCGTGTGTGCACGTGTGTGGACCTATGCGGCATTCCCTGCCCCACAGCCCTATGCATCCCCAGAGCATCATCGTGTGAACAAGAAAACCCGAATCCAAGGTCTCCCCGTACCCCTTGAGGAATCTCAGGGCTGAGGGGACGCGAGGCCATCCCTCCTCCCCACTGGTCACGCCTGGGTTACCTGGCCCCATGCCTCCCTCTGGGAAGCAGTTTCCCCACCCGCACCTGGGGCTGTCCTCGGGAAGCCCTCCTGGCCCCAGCGCCATCCACTCCCCGGAGGGACACCTGCTGCCCAGCTCTCCCCCCGAGAGCCTTGAACCTCCTCCCGCCCTGACTCCCTGGCACTGAGCTCAGCCTGCAGGATCCTTGTCCAGTCGGCAGCCAGATCCCAGTGGGAATCAGCCGGGCCGTGTGTGCAGGAGGCCTTTGCACAAGGGCTCCCCTCGCTCCTCCGTGAGATGAGCTGGCCATGGCTCAGCTGAGTCCCTCACACGCCCTCTGCTCCCCAGCAAATTCAACCACCAGAACATCGTGCGCTGCATCGGGGTAAGCCTGCAAGCCCTGCCCCGCTTCATCCTGCTGGAGCTCATGGCCGGGGGCGACCTCAAGTCCTTCCTCCGAGAGACCCGCCCGCGCCCGGTGAGTGACAGCTGGCCCGGCACCAAGGCTGAGCCAGGTCAGGTGCAGGGATGGGGGCAGCGAGCAGGCAGCCTGGGAACACCTCTCCACAGGGCCCGGGAACGACCTCTGCTTGGATGTGGGGGCTGGACAGGGAAGGGCCAGAGGCAGCGGCCAAGCCCCAGCCCTGAGGGGCTCATGCAGGTCTTATGCAATGCATTCTGCAGGCTGGGCCCTCCTGACTGTGGCTGAGGGAAAATCAGACTAGAGACAAACACAGAGGGGGGAGTCCATGCCTGCCAAGCCGGCGACTCATGGCTGGCCTGGGGCGGCCACTGTGGCCACTCATTCTATTGCTGTCTCGAGTAGCAATGACAATGCCTGAATGTCCCAACCTTGTAGTTTACAGGACGCTAAAGTGATGAGATACGTAGAAATGTGCTGCACATGTGTCGGGTGGAGGGGAGCGAACCTGAAAGTGAAGATGCCTGGGGGACCCCAGCTGGCCATGAGATACCCTTGGTCTAGAGCAATTAGCCCTTAATCTCAGTATCTGCACAGGTGACCTGGGGGACCTGGATGACCACGAGACATCCCGAGGTCTAAGGCAGTCAATCTTTAATCTTAGTATCTGCACAGGTGACCTAGGGGGCACCCCAGTTGGACCAGTAGACACCCCATGGTCCAGGGCAGTCAACCAGGGCAGTCAACAGGTGAGACCCGAGGGTTGGACCAGGTCATCTGGACAGTGGTTCTAAATGACAAACACAGCACCTGGGTGACCCCGAGTCCAGCTGGCCACGCCTGTCTTGAGGCCAGGAGTTTGCAGCCAAGCTGGGCAATATAGAAAGACCCTGTCTCTACAAAAAAAGTAAAAGTTGGGGGGAGAATGAAATACGTTTAAGAAATTTAAGGGGAGGATTTTTTAAAACACTGTCCTCCCTGGTTTCCCTGCAGGCAGGGTTTAGGGTTACAGATGTTCAGACATTTATGATGTCTGGAGGGGGAAAGCGTGCAGAATGAACTTAAAGGGAAGGACTCCTGCCCTGCCCTGGGTGTGCGTTGCAGGGCCCGGGACTCTTGCAAATGCTTGATACTGGTGCCACCCAGAAGATGGACTCCCGTGGGCATTCTTCCAAAGGTGGTCTAGCAAGCAGCCAGGGCCAAGACCCCCAGGGAGCCGCATGCTCTGGAGCTCAAACCCACGTGCCCCGTCCCCTCCCCACGTGCTCCTGAGTGCCCCCTCTGTCCCCGTAGAGCCAGCCCTCCTCCCTGGCCATGCTGGACCTTCTGCACGTGGCACGGGACATCGCCTGTGGCTGCCAGTACTTGGAGGAAAACCACTTCATCCATCGGTGAGTCCACGGCCGTGGTCTCTGCCACGTGTGTTCCCCCCACAGCTCAAGGCCAGAATGTCTCCAGAAGAGCCGGGTGAGTCCGCTTCCCTTGTCTCTGAGCGGGAACTTACTCCCTCGGGGCTTCCGTCGCCCCGATGTGAAATGGGTCGTGAAACATTCGCCTAGGCTGGAGAACTGCAGGTTCTTTCTGACTGGTGAGGACGCCTGCCTGCCCCCCGAATGCTCATGACCTGTGCCACTGTGAGGACCCCCTCGGGAAAGCCTGTCTTCCCATGGGAAGTTAGAGAAGTTCCATGAGTGACAGCGGACAGCCCAAGGCCACGCACCTGCCCGTTCACCTTCATGTCCGGCGTCGAGTGTTTGTTGGACATGTTCATCTTTTCTGGAACACTCCGAAGTGCAGCATGATGGTGACGACTCCTGTTCTTCATTTATTCCACCAAAAGAGCCTCGTGTTTGGGAGCTGTGTGGCCTGGGACCCCGTGCCCACGCTCGATGCGCTGACATCACTGACAACGCGTTTCCTTCCTTGTGGGGGATGCTGGTGACCCTCCCAGCGGACAGTTTGAAGCCTGGGGAGTAAGAGAGACCGTCGGGCTCTTTGCAAAACTTCCTTAGTGATTGGCTTCTAACTCAGTAAGTACAACCTGGAAAACTCACAGTCACGTATCCACTGGTGTCTTCAAAGAGCTGAAGGCATGTTCACGACAACACAAAGTACAAAGCAGGAAATGAGAGGCCGAGTGAGACTAGACGGAGGAGACGTGCAAGACTGTCACAGCTGTGCCTTCTAATAGGAATGAGGAACAAAGACCAGAAGGCCCAGCCTGAGTGCCCAAGTCACTCCTGACTGAAGGCAGTGGTCCCTCAAGAGAGCCTCCTCCCACAGTCATGCCTCAGTCTCCTCTGGAGTCCAGTCCTTTCCTGCCAGTGGGTCCTTCTTCTGGATAGAAACAGCAGAAGCAGATGAGAAGCTCGGACTCAGCCCACCATCTGCTTTGAAGCCAGGTCAGCCAGGTTCTTGTCCTTTCCCTTGTACCCAGAACCTTCTATAAGCCTCCTCTTTGGGCTCGGCCATTGCTCAGTCGAGGCCAGGTGGCGCTCTTGCTGGAAATCGTCATCGGTGAGAACCCTCTTGCCGCCTTTGCCGTGTCTTTCAAGTCTGCCTTCCTCGGAGAGCAGCCAGTGTCGCTTGGTGACCTACAATGTGTCCCTTGGCTTTGTGTGTGGCCTCTTCTGCTTTGTCTCCACCCATGCTGGTCACCACGGCACACAGATCCTCTGGCAGATGTCACCGCCATCTGCCCTCTGCCCTTATAAACCTGCTCTCCTGGGGTCCCCACATGTCGATCACACCCAGTGCTCTGCCTGTCCTTCCTCTCTGGAAATCACTTCTGAAGGCCAGAATTAGATCCCAGAATCCGAGCCTGTTGCTTTCTCATCTTTTTTAAGAGATTAAATTGTGAGAGACCAAACCAAGAATGTATCCGATGATTCATCTTAAGCAAAAGGAAACTTCCAGCAGAGACTGTGCATCTCAGTCGAAGCTTTCCTGTTGGGGTGATTGTTCATTCATATTAGGAACGCATCTTCCCCATCTTCCAACTGGCTAGAGGGTCCACAGTCCACGCTCATGCAGGGTGGCTTCTCATTCCCCTCTTCCCTCCCCACGTATCCACCCTGAAGGTGTGTGGACTGTACCCCCGGTCACCATCTGATCTCAGGGTGGAACTCCTCGCCAGAGTTGCATGCGTCCGTTGCTCATAAGATCACCCATAACCCTTTGGACATGGTTTATTGCCATTTCAAGAATGACGTATCATTCTGCCAACTCTCGGTGTGTTCTGTGGCTTTACATTTACTCTCTTGCCATGAAGTTCAAGATCACCTTTCTAAATGACCATGCCACACGCATCAACGCAAAGACTCTTCTGGAGCCGTAAATATGGTTCCTGGCCTGCGCGGCCATTCCTCCCTTGAGAATAAGTGGCTGTACAGTCAACCATTGTTCTTCTTTTTGATGCCCCGTACATTATGCTTTTATGGCTTATGGGGACACTTCAAACTTCAACCTGCACCTTCCAGACCAGGTCAGTGGTATCTACAGCGTGAACCTTCCCCTACCCTGACCCACTCTTCCGGTGTCCCATGCCACGGCCCATGTCGGGATCCCATATTTTCATATGGTCTCAGCAGCCAGCTGCGTGCTCTCCACATCCTCTCCAAGCCAGGGACCAAAACGCGAGACCCATTAACCATGGAAGCACCACCTGTCAGCTGGGGGCTTCTGTTCTGTCTGTGCAGGACTTCAATGTTATAAGAGGAGATCCATGCCTGATGTCCCCTGGCTGCACCTGTCACCCCCACAAGCACATCAAGGAGGGGTTCTCAGTCATTCAGGAGAAGCTGATGAGTCTCGGGAAGCTTTTGATCCTGTCTCAGAGGCATGATGGGAAAACAGGCCATCTGGCTGGAGCCTGGCGCAAAGGAGGCCACGCTGTGACTTGAAAGAAGCGAGTCTTCGGGCATGGGACTTAGCAGAGGCTTTACACCAAGCCAAGCACAGGAGAACCACCGTGGCTTATTTTTTAGAGATTTGAAACCTTGGAGAATTTCTTGAAAGGCTTGAATGTAATCTCATGGAAGTCATGCTGTTCTAAAACACTCCTTCAAACAGCTGGCAGAAACCAGCCAGCGGTGTACATGGAATCTGGCTATGGCCAAATAGCATTTCTTTAGCCCCGTATTATCTGCTTTTAGCCTCCTTGTTTACGATAACAGGAGATAATAGCATTCTGCGTCGTATAGAGCTGTTTTGAGGATTAGCTAGGAAGCTCGACAGTGACACTTACAGCAGTGCTTAGCGAGAGTGGAAGGCCAGTGGATTCTGGTTCCTATTGTAAGTCTTTTCATTATTATTTTCCCGTTAAACATGTTCAGTCACCTCCCCGTGTCTTTTTCCATTTCCCTGTTCTGAGGTCTAGCACTGGTGAAGTTGTCTGTTCCACCCTGACGTTCTGTGGCAAGAGAAATAGAGGGCAGAGGAGGGAACTGTGTGAACTTGAGATTGGAGGTGAACTCCTGGTGCTGGACCCTGTACATTTTCCTTCCCAGGAATAATATTAGAACATGGACTTTCTCGGGTCTTCTTCCTTCCAGGGACATTGCTGCCAGGAACTGCCTCTTGACCTGTCCAGGCCCTGGACGAGTAGCCAAGATTGGAGACTTTGGGATGGCCCGAGACATCTATAGGTGAGCGGAGAAACGCCCCCTGCCAAGATCAGTCTCCCCCTGCCCCCTCCCCTCGAGTGAACGGGATGAGCTTTGACCTCACGTGATTCCCACCCCCCCCCCCCCCAAAATTCTATTCAGGCCCTTTCCAGGGTGTGGGAAGCTGTAATTAGTGCCCTGGCAAAGGCCTAGACCTAGGTCCACACCGCCTGCTGCTAATAGCCGACTCCAAGTCCTTGGATGGGTTGTCTTCCTGGCTCCAACACCAATCCTGCCATGTTCTGAAACACAGAATGGCATGGATGCTTGATGTGGAAGAAGCTTCACAGTGAGCTTGGTTTAACTTCCTCTCTTCTGTGCCAACCTCTGGGCCCTTAGGCATCTGGCTTGGCCCAGCTGGTCCCCCAGCCTGAGCTTCATGGCTCCCAGTGCTGGCTCCAGGCACCTTGGCGACCTCCTGTCCACAGCCTCCCGCCCACCTGAACTCTGCACAGCTCACAGTGGGCACGGCCTCCCAGGGGCTCTGGTCACTCCTGGGTAGTGCTCCTGTGCCTTGGCCACCCCAAGGAGGATCAGTGGGTCTCCGTTCATGCTGCTGGTCTCCTGCACCCTCCAGCGGGGTGTGTGGTGCCAGCCACGCTGCAGTAGCGTCTGCGGCCACTTCTTCCGCTAAACCATGTCCTTGGATGATTATGCCTTGTACCCTTGGCACGCAGCAGAGGTCCTGACCCACACCCAATATTTAGCCCGTGTTTATTGAGGTAGCTCCTTATTTAGCCCATGTTTATTGAGGTGTATAGACAGCTGGCAGGAAGTCACCCCTGCAGCCCACCCAGACAGGCGTGAACCCAACCAGCATGCAGTGGCTTACAGGGAGGTGCGCCCATATGCTGATCTTATCAGTGCGTTGCATTCATGACGTGACTGATAAAAACTGGGACAGGAACCCACCTCTCTTGCAAGGGGGGTCTGCACCCAAGAGGCTGCATGTCTGGGCAACCTAGGAGGCAGCTTCTACAGCAGTCACCGATGGCCGAGGGCCTGAGTTGAACTAAGTGCCAGGTGCCACAAGAACCTGGACCAAGAGACCCGAGTCCGCTCCCCCTCCCATTCCAGGTCCACGAGGCCTCAGGTCGTCAGAAGCACATGGTTCTGATGAGGCTGGAGTGTGTTGTTCCATCTGGGCCATAGCACAGACCTCGTCTTCCATGCCGCTTGCTTGCCGTTTTGTCCTGTTAAATGACACCGGCATTTTTTTTTTTTTTTGGGAAAGCAGGATTTACTGAGAGGACAGAAAAACTCCCACAGTGGGAGGAGACCCGAAGGGGATGCCCTACACCGGCATTCTTAAGGAAGTGATGAGGTGTCCACTCTCCTCCCGGGCCCCTAGGACCCTCGTGAATGTCATCCTTTCCCGGGCAACTCTACCCATGGGCCTTCCTCGGTATCCCGGCAGGGCTGGTGCTGCGCCCTCTGCGGGTCCCAGCCTGGCCCTCCACTTCTCCCCCCAGGGCGAGTTACTACCGGAAGGGCGGGTGCGCCATGCTGCCCGTGAAGTGGATGCCCCCCGAGGCCTTCATGGAAGGGGTCTTTACCTCCAAGACGGACACCTGGTGAGTCTCCACCCTCCTCCGGTCCCCGGCCTGCAAGTGGTACTCTTGGGCCAATTGAGGGCCCAAGGGTGCTGGCCACACAGAATCGAGGGCAGGTTGAGCCCAGGCTCCCTCACCAAGTCCACACACACCAGGAGAAGGAGCTCAAACTCCACAAGGACACAGGGGACAAGAGGGCCAAAATCCAGACCAGACCAGCAACAACCCCACTGGGAGGGCCTCGGCTTCCTCACATCCACAGGATCCTTTTTCTTGCGAGCTAGCAATGGTGCAGTCTGGGATCAGGACCCTACTCTGTTGGTGGCATCATTCCGCCTCCCAAGTGAGAGGTGCACAGACATGTGGGCCTCACTGAGGAGACGGGGACATGGGTGTCTAACCCAACAGCCAGGGCCCGGCGCAGGCTGGCTCACCCTGCCTGAGCACCCAGAAAGGTCCAGGAACTGGGAACAGGGTGCAGTAAGCAGGAAAATGGCTCAAGGGCCTGTTTAGGGAGTCATGGCATCCCCCAGCCCCTTCTCGCAGCCCCTGAAGCTTCCTGACAGTCCTCTTTCACTGTTGGCACAAGGCGGGGCTCCTTCTCCCAGGAGACCACACTAAAGCCTCTTTGGTCATCCCCCCGCCTTCCCCACCATGTCCCCTCAACACCAGAAACACTGGCAGCCGGGCAGGATGTCAGAGCTTCTCTTTGAAACTGGCCAGTGATGAGAGACCCACAGACACAGCACGGACAAGGGGCTGCCCAGTGTATGGGCTGAATGGTGTCACCCAGAGGTGTCAGGGCCCACTCCCAGAAACCGACATGGCCATTGCACAAGAACAGAGGTCTTCGCAGCTATAATGAAGCTTAGGGTCTTGGCCTGGGGTGGCTGTCCTGGGTTATCTGGGTGGGCCCTGAACGCCAGAACAAGGGTCCTTGTAAGAGAAGAAAGAGGGAGAGGAGGCAGTGTGACCACAGAGGCAAAGGTTGGAGGGACACAGCCACTGGTCAGGCATTCCAACCGCCACCAGGAGCAGCAGAAGCAGACTCTCCCCAAAGCCTCGGAGAGGCACAGAACTGTCAACACCCGTGTTCAGCCCAGCAATACTGACTTCGGGTGTCCGACCTCCAGAACTGTCCGAGAATGAGCCTGTGCTGTTATAAGCCACCAAGTGTGTGGCATTTCTTTACAATCATCACAGAAGACTAATGTACCCAGGAAATAGGAAGCTAGCTGCCCACTAGCGACGAGACTCCCTTCTGTAGGACTTTCCACCAGCCCCTGAATACCCCAGTTCTAAAATACAGCCACCCAGGAATCAACACCCACTGGAGAAAAGATTCTAAACTGAAGAAAACAGACATACGGAAAGGAACTTGGAGGAAGAGAAATATAGAAAGATGAGGCAAATTATGGCAGCCATGACTGGTAGGTAAAAGGTTACTGAGAACAATACTTTTGGGGGAGAAAACCCGTGGGAAAAAAACCAGGAAGCGAGGAGCCCGCAGGAGAAGCCATGACTCCACGCATGTGGCTGACACAGCAGCTCCCTTCCACAGGTGATGGGAAGGATGGGGAGACTCACGGGGTAGACTGGCAGGCAGCCTTGGCAGTGGCTCCAGGCCATTGTCAGCCATGCTGAGTCACACTGGTGGCACGTGCCCTGGACACAGAGGGATGGGAAAGCACTGCATCCCGTGGGCTTCCTCTGAGCCCCACAGCCCCCTACTAATCCTGAGACAAACAGACCCCTATCGAGGGACATTCCACGAAGCCCCCAACCAGTCCTCAAACCTGCCAGGGTCATCAAGACCCAGCAAGTCTGAGAAGGTGTCACAGTCCAGAGGAGCCTGAGGACACAAGATGGCTCAACGGAGGGAGGTGTCCCCAAGGGACTCTGGGGGAGAAAAAGGAGATTCTGTGAAAAGTAAGCAAACCTGGAGAATGTGTGGGCTTTAGCCAATAACGCCTTAAGAGTGGTTCATGATTTGTGATAAATGTGTCATACGCACGTGAAGCTAAAAATAGCAGGAGCGGAGTGTGACTTCTGTGAGGACTCTTAGTTGAGCTGCTCTAAAAATATAAGGTTTATTGTTTTAAAATATAAAGACAGAAATTTACACATAATATACGGGCTGGGATGTGGAGATAAAGAAATCTCCCAGAAAATGGCACAACCCTGAAGAGATGGGATACATAAGAAAAGGTAAGAGAATTAAGAGGATTCGACCAACAGATCCGATTAGCTGACAAAGAGGAGTCCCAGGAAGAAGGAACAGAGAAAACGAAGAAAATAACCCAAGATTTCCCAGGCCAGGATATGAACTCCCAGAATGGAAGTGCCACCACGTGCCCTGCATGGTGGTAGAAAGCCACACAAGAGCACTCATCGGGAAGTGTCACAGCAGTGGTGACAAAGATTCTGTCAAAGCAAGGGGAACACTGAAATAACAAATATTAATAAAATGACCAGAGATAAATGGGCATCCAGATAGCGCTGAATGTCTTAACAGCATCACAGAGAAGGCAGGAAGGCAGGGGACAAGCATCTCCCCGCTAGAACGGCCTCCGTCGAGACACTGTCCTGACATGAGCAGCTGTCGGGCCACAGGCCCCTCCTGACCCGCACTGGGTGGCGAGAGCCAGAACCTTAGTTGTTCATCAGCCGGCAAGGTTGGGTCCAGCCTGACCCAGGGCATCACAAGGTTCGGTCCTCGGCTCAGCGGCATCAGTAGGGAACTTGCTGGAAGCGCACATTCCCAGTCCCACATCAGGCCGTGTAAGCAGAAGCTCAGGCGTGCCCAGCAGTGGTCCCACAAGCCTTCCAGGTGATTCCACCATGTGCCAGCTAGAGCAGCCTAACTCGCCCCAGAGGGAAAAGAACCTAAGTAGTTAGGGTCGTCCTGAACACTCACATGGCCGGGGACCCCACAGTTTCACCACCAGGTGTCTACAGTCAAGGGGGGTAGATATCCACAGACCTGGGCCAGAATGTGTCCTGGGACTTTGTTTCCAATAGAGAAAAAGCCACATCAGCCTGGCCAGCCCTCAAGTAGGGGTCAACACGCAGCGGTTTACTCGTGTCAGGGAAACACCTCAGCAGCAGGAAAGAACACACTAGACCTGCAGGTGACCCCATCGATGGACCCTAAGCAAGATTCAGAGGGAGCGGATGTCAGGGAGTGGGTATCATTACGTACAATCTCGCGGTACAGAACCCGAGGCGATAAGGGGGCTTGTTCATCGTTAGGGCTTCACATCCTTTTTACAGATGTGAAACACGAGGGAAGGAGGGAAGAAGGACCCGGCCACCATGCTGCATGCTGCAAAGAGAGGGTGGAGGAAGGGCCGGCTGGGCTCCCTGTGTCCACTGTTTTGCTTCACAAAGAAAGGGAGGGCAGGGCAGTCAAGGTGAGGCAGGAGCCTCTGGTACATGGACATCGAGGCCACAATTCTACCTTTTAGAACTCAGTTCGTGTCATAATGAAAATGCTTCCATGAATAAATGGCCTGGTTTCAGGGTCCGGGAAGGACCCTGAGACTAACAGGCAGAGAGAAGGCTCCCCGGAGGAGGTGGCCGCAACACCTGAAAGGCACGAGGGCAGACCACGGGAGATCTGGGGATGGGGGGCGGGCACGGGGTGAAGAGCCTGCGCTTGCCAGGACTGGGAAGAGTGACAGAGCCCTAGGCAGAGCTGAGGGGACACCAGGGCAGGGCTTGGAACCCAGGTGGGGGTGGGTCATACCCTAAGCACCGGGGTGCTGGGAAGGGCTGCGAGCAGGAGTGAGCTGTGACCTTTGTTTCTGAAAATATTCCTCTTGCTGCTGGAGGCGGGTGAGTGAGGAGGGAAGCCTGGTAGGGACATCTTGCACGTGGGTGGGCATGGGGCTGGGCGTGGGGGTAATGAGTGGAGGTGATGGCAGCGAGGAGATGGCAGTGGCAGTGAGCACCATGTGTCAGATTCCAGTCAGATTCTAGATCTCTTGATCTCACAGGACTGCTGGCCCTGGTGGGGACCAAGGTGCGGAACGGAGACAGGGAGACTCCCAGGCCTGGGGCTTGAGTCAGGCTGGGGCGGAGGTGCAGTAAGCTGAAGGATGGAGGTGGGGGCTCGGCTGTAGGAGTCCTGAAGGGCGAGTTGAACTTGACTTGCCTGTTAGAGTTGGCCAGTGTAGACGAGTGGGCATCCGCCCTGGGATCTGCAACTCAGAGGACTGCAAGGGACCATGCGGTCGGCTGGGCAGACATTTGAGGACAGGGTGATTGTAGGCTCGGGTGTCTCCCAAGAGCCCGCCTCACCCACCGCACCCAGGGATGCCCTCCACTTCAGGTCAGGACGAAAGGAAAATAAATCAGAGCTTTCGAAGGCACAGCCCAGCCTGTGGTTCTGAACCTTTTCACCGATTCTTATCATGGATTCAAAGATGTAAAAGTTTAAACAGCAGCAATGTACACTATGTCTATCGTTTCAGGCAGAGCAACTTGAACACCAAGAGAAAGAGTGGGCTTTTTAATACTTGTCTTGACTTTCCTTGGAATACTTTGTTGCTCCTGCTTAGAACAGGCCCACGGGTGAGTGAGAACACGCTGGCATACAAAATGCAGAACTGCCTGAAAAACACAAATGGCCAGTTGAAAAATGGCCACAGGCACAGCCAATAGTTTTTTTTGTAAGCATGACCCATATAATTCTTGGGGTCAACTTATACTAAAAATAGTCTTTGCTGTCTATCTGGAATTCAGATGTAACCAGGTGTTTGCAAATATGACCACCTGCTTCCCATGGGTCAGTGCTATGCCCAAGTCCTTCTTCTCGCTCCTGTGAGCTCTGAGCCAAAAACAGAAAGCCCCCACAGCAGTCTCTATAGTGGTTCTCTCAAGGATGCCATGATCTGGATTCATCTACCTGGGCAAGCAGAAGACACAGAGCTGCGATTCTTCTGGCCTTGATGTCGTTTCTTGCTTACTTGATTTTGCCTGTTTTGCTTTGCCTCGGAGGGCAGAAAGACTACCGAGCAGAACGAATACTACAGGCACCAGGCAATCCATGAGTAGCAGAATCACAAGCTCTGATTATGGGTCCAGTCTGTGTCGGCTCATTGCACTTCTCATCTGAAAAATACAGAAAATATCTTTGCCCAGTCCTTTGCTCAAGAGTCTTTGAAATTCCACCAAGATGATGACAATGTAAGTACCACATGTTCCCTAGAAGCTGGAGGGATTGCAGTGCTGTCTGATGTCTGTGGTAGTGTTTACTAGTGTCAGAAAACACCAGCAAGATACTAAAACAGAGGGAGGCCTTCTTTACCAAAAAGCTGATGATCGAATTTAGAGTTTAATGTTTTAGTCAAAATATCAAAGGAGATGATTTGGGGACATGATAAAAATCATCTTTAAGCTCATTTAAAACAAATCACAAATGACAGATATGTTCTAAAAGAGGAAAATGCCCTGTTGGAGCTTAAATCAAATACCCAAAAGCAGAGCCAAATGGTATGAAGGCAGGAAACCGATGACAGATGGTGTGATGGCCAGAACTAGGCCTGCTTCAACTCCAAGTCGATGGTGAGGGGAAGCACTGTCAGAAAAGCAGTTGTTTGGAAAATGAATCCCTTTACCTCACACTAGATACCAAGTTAAATTCCAGCCAGATTTGAGAAGCGAAAAAAACACACACAACTAGCATAGAAAAGGTCTATCTCATCTTTGGTGGAAAGAGGATCGTATAACTATAAAGCAAATGGGAGAAATCACAAAATTTTTTAAAAATAGATTTGACCTCCTCAACATAAAAATCCTTGGAACGCCAGAGTCGAGTCAGAAAGCAACAAACAGAAGTGTCTGAGTTTTTGATAAAAGGTCAACATCTCTGATCTATCAAGGGTGCCTATAGATCAGAAAGAAAATGGCAAAACAGTTGCCCTGTGGATACAAATGAGCAAATGATACGCACAGATAATTCATGGGAGAAAAATGGAACAGATTGATGAGCACTTGGGAGAACATCCAGCCACGTCAGTTATCAAGGTAAGATACACAGGAAGGGATCCTACTCCTTCTGCCTTAAATTCAGCGAAAGGTCTCAGCCTTTATCAGAACACGCACTGCTGGGAGCGGGTCTGCCGGACTCGGGCACAACACCAGGAGGGGAAGGGCGACACGTGGAGTCAGAGCCACCACGGGCACAAGAGCCCCTCAGGCTTGGCATCCTTCTGACCTAATAATTCTCCTGGAGCCATCCTACATTTGGCTAGATCATCCTGATGTTATAATTCAGAGAATGTATCCCAAGAGAAGTCCTCCACCTAAACATGCAAAAAGATGTTCATCGCCATATTGGAAATATTTTGAAAGTTGAATACAATGTGGACACGACAAGACTAATGGTGGCACAGCTACTCAAAGGAATGCTTCTCAGCCATGGCAAACTCTTTCTATAAAACGCATCAGGGCTGGGCTTGATGGCTCAGCCTGTCATCCCAGCACTTTAGGAAGCCGAGGAGAGTGGATTGCCTGAGCTCGCAGGTTTGAGACTAGCCTAGGCAAGACCTGGTTTCTGCAATAAATCAAAAATTACCTGGGCATGGTAGTGCATACGTGTAGTTACGGCTGAGGTGGAAGGATCGCCAGAGATTAGCATGTCGACACTGGGGTGGCCGTGAGCGTGCCACTGCACTCCAGCCTTTGCAACGGAGTGAGACTCCAACTCAAAAAAACAAAAAACAAACAAAAAACGCATCAGCATGGAAAGTGTTTACATCTTGATGAAATGGGAAACACACACACACACACACACACACACACACACACACACACACACACACGGTTCAAAACTGCATACTGAATGTAACTGCAACTAAGTGAAAACAAAAATACACGACAAAAACTTGACAGAAGCAAAAAAATAATAGTGGTTTTCTTTTAGTGGAATGCCTCATGGTACATTCTTTTTTTATTTTTTTGCTTTTTAAAAGTTCTCGAGTATGGAGAAAGGTATAACGAAAACAGATATAACATATACAAAATGTACAGGGTGTGTGTGTGAGTGTATGTGTGCATCTGTGTGTGTATGCATGTGAATGTATGTGTGAGTATGTGTGTGTCAGTGTGCCTGTGAGCACGTATGTGAATATGCACGTGTGTGTGATTGTGTTTGTGTGTGCGAGTGTGTGAGTGTGCGTGTGTGTGGCCATGGATGCCTGTGAGTGTGCACGCAGGCACGTCTGCGCTCACCCCCGCTTCCATCTGCGTGCAGGTCCTTTGGCGTACTGCTGTGGGAGATCTTCTCACTTGGATACATGCCGTACCCTAGCAAGAGCAACCAGGAGGTGCTGGAGTTCGTCACTGGCGGAGGACGGATGGATCCCCCCAAGAACTGCCCCGGGCCCGTGTGAGCACTCTCAGGATTCCCACTAGTCCCAGGACAGCTTTTCTTTTCAGCCACCTGGGGCCACACGTGTACCTTCGGGATGAAGGGTGGTGGCCCTCCTAGCCTAACACGCCCCAAGGGGGGAACGTGTCAGTGCCTTCAGGGAGCAGGGCTGGTCCTCGGGGCTGTGAAGTGCACATGCCCTGTCCCCGACTGGCCAGGGCTATGGGCTCACCAGGTCCACCCATCAGCGCCTCCCAGGACGCTGCATCCCAGGCTCCCCCCGCGGTGCCACGTCTGAACCTGGTTTTCTGCCCCTGCACCCTGGTTTTCTGCCACGAGTCTCACCTCCTCCCCAAGCCCGGCAGGCGGGAGGTGGCAACAAAGCCCCCCGTACCAGGAGTGGCCTCAGTTCAGGAAGGGACTGAGAGGAGCCACGCTGGATGTGGCCCCCAGGACGTCCATGCTCATGAGTGTTGGTGTTGCAATTCGTCTATACCTGGGCATCTTCCTTGTCCTGTCAGCAGGGAGCAGCCTGGGGCAGTTCCCACTGAGGCCCATGCCAGCCCTGCTTCCCTCTAGAGACCCACTGTGGGACAAGCTCTGCGTCCTGAGCTGCCCCCGGTTGACCTGCCCTGCCCCCTCCCCCTGCAGATACCGGATCATGACTCAGTGCTGGCAACACCAGCCTGAAGACAGGCCCAACTTCGCCATCATCCTGGAGAGGATCGACTATTGCACCCAGGTAGGCACGCCGCCCATGACCGGCCACAGACGCCCACAGGAAGTTGGGCAGAGACAGGGTGCAGGGGCGTGGAGACACCTGATGGCTGTTTACTCGTGGTGTAAGATAGGCCCTAGCCACTGCCCCAGCACGAGACAGTGCCAGGCACCCGGTAATGCTAGGGAACCGACTCAGTCACAGTAGTCCCCGAGGCCCCAATGGAAACCTAGTGTTTCATGAGACCAAGCCAGCGCTTCACAGAGTGGGGACACAGCTGCCTTCAAGCGGCAGGTAGACGGGCTGGACAGTCTCGCCCACGTGGCGGCATGTCATGGCTCAGTCACACGTCCAGTCACCCTCGCCAGGGGCCCAGGGGGAAGTCCCAGCAGCACCCAAGCGTGTGTTGAGCACGTGCACTGCACGAGGCATGATGTGGCCTTCGCTGGACCCTCACAGAGAGTCACTTTACAGACAGGGAGGGGCCTTTGAGACAGTCGGGGTCCAGCTGCCCCTGGGGTTCCTGCAGAGACCCCTCCCACGGCCTTTGGTGGTGAGGCCAGCCGTCAGTCTCTCCTCATCATCAGCGGTTACCCACCTCCTCCAGGAGTATGGAGACTGTGAGTGTGAGTGATTCCTTCTCCCTCGCAGGAGTGTGGAGGCTGTGAGTGTGAGTGTCCCTCCTCCCTGTCTGCCCTGCTCTGCACCCTCCTCCCTCCCTCCTCCCACATCCCTCTGCCTCCAGGCTGGCCCTTCTCCCCGAGTCACCGGTCACCCCTTTCCCATCAGGCAGCCTCCTCTTCCCTCTCCTTCTGCCGGGATGTCTAATTCTGCAACAGCCTGAGAGGGGTCAGTGGGCCACTGCCTCTCTACATGCTCCCTAGCTATGACAAGAGACGGACAGGTGTTTCCCAACCTGGGACTCATGTCCTCACCTGGGCGTCTCGTCCCTCCCAGGGCCGGTGCTTGAGCTGATGTTGCTGTGTAGACAGACCTCACCTGTCAGGCTCGGCAGTTCTTTCCAAGAACTTTGCTTAACACCAGGCTGGCTTATTATGTCATCATGTAAATCGGATCCACTCACTCCTATTAAATGTGCACACTTTCTTTGGAATATTTTTTTCTCCAAGTATTTAACATCCCTCTTAAAAGCAGGTGGATTTACACAAGCATATTTTAAATGACTCGCCATGGAAATTACTAGTAATCAGAGAGGGAACTTAAGAATTTTTTTAAAGAGTCAGAGGTAGTTTTTTTCTAAGTTTTAAACTCTTTTAATGATGAATACTAATGTGCTTTATTTCTGTTAAATTCGAGTAATGGGCGTTTCCCAATTTGCTTAAAATATTACTGAATTCACTGTCTCCAATTTTAAGTTTTTTTCCACCGGCGTTCCCCAGTCCTCTGCCCCCTGCATTCACATTTCTCTGTGATAATCCATCACGGTCAAGGGCACCTCACAGAAGGTTGTTTCTGTACATGGTTTTCCTTGGATCATGTCATGTCGGCATTTCCAGGGTTCCACACAGGGTCCCCCACATCCAACCCAGTGAAGGTCCTGGCCCGTGCTGTCTGCACATGTGATGATACATATAGCAGAGCTGTGGTCGGTGTCACCATCCATGTGGGGCAGGCACCTAGGCTGCAAGCTGGCGGTCCCTGAGCATGGCATGCTCCCCTGCCTCACCCTACCCCACACTCCAAGTCAAAGACGCAGACTTTTTTTTTTCTTTTGGTTAAAAAAACTGTGGAGGAGAGAATAGACTGGAATAATAAGGTATCATTATTTTAGTTCCTTTCCCTAAAATCCATTCACCTGCAAACTGTGGCCAAGGTCACCTCCTCTCCAGACCCATCCAGCCCCCGCCCCGACCTGGGGTAGTAGAGGTGAGGAGTGCTCTGGGCGGGTCTCATGCCCAGTGCCCCCACGCTGAGGATTCCCAATAGTCCTGGGGTGGTGTCCTGGTCTGTAAAGCAGGCTTAGATGAGCCCCTCACTTCTCCAGACGCAACATGCCTTGATGTGCCCCGAGGTGTCATGGTCCCTCTCTCCCCCAGGACCCAGACGTCATCAACACCGCTTTACCCGTGGAATACGGACCCCCCGTGGAGGAGGAACAGAAGGTACCCACCAGGCCCAAGGACCCCGAGGGGGCTCCTCCCCTGCTGGTCTCTCCCCAGCAGGCCAGGCGAGGAGAGCATGGGCCGGCCGCCCCCCCACCCCTGCCCACCACGGCCCCCGGCAAGGCCGGGAGGAAAGCCCCCGCGGGGGAGCCCCCCTCTCACCCCCCCGGGGGGCCAGCCGTGGAGGGGGGACACGTCAACATGGCGTTCACTCAGTCCAACCCACCATCGGAGCTGCACACGGCCCAGGGGTCCAGGAACAAGCCCACCAGCTTGTGGAACCCGACCTACGGCTCCTGGTTCACAGAGAAACCCGCCAAAAAGAACAGTCCTCCAGCTGAGAAGGGGCAGCTGGAGAGGGCCGGCCCGGGCCGGGAAGGAGGCCACCCCATCCCACCCAGTGTGGCCGCGGGGAGGCTGCCGGGGGCCTCCCTGCTCCTGGAGCCGTCCTCACTGACGGCCACCATGAAGGAGGTGCCCCTGTTCCGGTTACGTCACTTCCCCTGCGGGACCGTCAACTATGGCTACCAGCAGCAGGGGCTGCCCTTGGAGGCCCCCGCCGCCCCAGGCGCTGGCCGCTATGAGGATACCGTCCTGAAGAGCCAGCGAGGCACCGGCCAGCCTGAGCCCTGAGCCCCGCCTGCTGCACGTCGGGGGGCTCGGAGCCCACGAGGGCGGGCGGCCCTGGCTCCTCCACTCCCCAGAGACCAAACGCCACTTTTCATGTGTGCCGACCTGTTTTGAAGTGCCACAAAGGCCGCGTTTCCAAAATGCTTTAAAGAGGCTTGGAGCACGGGCTCCTCCTTCCAGAACAGACCTAACAGCTGGCGACAGGCGTGGCCAGCTGCAGGCCCGCAGCTCTCTGCACGGCGGCTGCACCCTCCCCAGGCTGCCATGCATTGCGTGACTCGCTGCAGAGTCAGAATTCAGACATGCGCCGTCCCTTGGCGACGTGGACACAACCCGTCTGAGGAGAGGGGCTAGCTGTGACGACCCCGCATGGGCAAAGACATTCTTGACTTGGAAGGAAAAACTCTGGACAACTGGAATGTCACTTTAGATGGCAGTTAGATGCTCTTAACCGTGCTGGTCCGTCGCCGATTATAAAAGATGTCGCGAATCGTTCCAGTAGGCTAGCAAAATGTGTACATGCTCATCTCGACGCCACACATTCATTCCAAGCGCTTAGAGTAGGATACAGCACGGGCCTAGATCCAGAGAGTCAAGTATCCTATGACTATGCCTCATGCCTTAAGAAAACCCTCCTGCTCAACGTGGAAGACTGCGTGTGAGGTTTCCTGCTGGATCTACAATCCGAGGTTTCAATCACTTTAACACTTTCTACATGTTAAACGCTGATCATTGAGAAGCAAAAGTGTCCAGCAGCAGTGACACCAGAGCACAGAAGACAACATAGCCACTTGTGTCGAAACACCTTAGGCCAGAGCCTTCCATCAGCTTCTGCCACGAAGCCCACACCAGATCGCGGCTTCAGCTTGCAGAGGAGGAGGGGCCCAAGGGAGGAGTGCACACAGCGGCTTCCTTCCACTAGGACCTGTGTTTTCCCTTCCGACCCCAGCACCCTGGTCTGCCAGGGACACGAGCGTGCTGAAGTGCAGCAACATGGTCTCAGCCGTCAAATGCGGTGACAACAAATCCTTCCTCTGGGCAGCGAGGAGGAAAGGAATGGAGGGGGGCGTGGAGCTTTGAACTTGGCTTTCACAGATGGAATTAATTCCATGGAGACAAAGGGGGAACCTGCTGAGCGTGGCGCATGCTTGTGGAGAAGGCCCCTACGCAGTTCCCATCACCTTTATCCTCCTGCTTCTCCTCCCTCCTCACGCCTTGTCCTGCCCAGGGGCAGGTGTGCCAACGCACTTCTCCACAGAAAAAGCATTTCTCAGCACCTGCTAGTGACTACACATTGCCCAGCGAGAGGACTTGCGTTTGCGCGTATTCACACATCCACACCTCCTTCCCACTGCCATCACCCACGTTGAGAGCATCGCCTGATGGTGGGAAAGCCGTGATGCTCTGGGCCAACGCTAGACTGTCCCCTTCCCTGAAGGCGGTGGCTTGTCCCGGGTCGGCAGTGCAGCACATGGTACCCTGGGGGCTGCTTCTCCCTTTTGATCCGACTGCCAAAACGACTTCCACCAGACCTTTGTGAAGATGAAACACCCACAAACTCAGCTCCACGTACTGGCATCAGTAGGGTTTTGGTTCATGCCAGGCACACAGGCAGGCTAACCCTATGAGCACAGCTGTGATTCACACACGGCCTGGAGGGACTCGGGAACGTCTGTGGGGCCACAGCAGACGAGCTGTGGGCAACCATGTTCCAGCTCACGATGGCGGCGGCGGCGACCAGCCAAGCAGGGGCAGTATGGTGAACAGCTGCCTCTTCAGCGTTCCTAGTGGGGAAACATCTTACTTCTTTCCATTCTTGAAACCCACAAACCCACTGCATTTTCAGGTTGTGCCTTCCCACCACAGACTGGCTTGTTGATTTTCTCTGACCGTCCCTACCGGTATCAATTTCCATGTAAATGATAGTCGAGTCTTAAAGCTTGTGTACGTGGATTAGCAAATAAACACCTCCACACTGAGCTGCGCGGCCTGAGATGTTTCATTGAACTCGGTGTGACCCCGGGGACCAGCATGACACTGTAACCAGGGCTGCTGTCCACGGAGTCCACCTCAAGCCCTGGGTCAGGGCTCCAACACACTTTTCAGCTGTGCCAGAAAGTTCCCCCTAGATGTGGACAAGTCGGTTGAAGTGTGCAGAGCTGTGAAGCCATGTGCTGGTGCAATTTTTTATGCCCCCTGTCTAAAAAGAAGCCCATAGAATGCTCAAATTTTTTATGCCCCCTGTCTAAAAAGAAGCCCATAGAATGCTCACCTTGGTCCATGCGGAAATGGCCACTTGCAAGCAGCAACCAGCAGGGAGTCGAGTCTCGGGAACATACTCCATGTAAGAGTGTGCTCTACTCGTAGACACAGCTAGGACCTGAGTCCTGCCTACCCGGGGGTTACCTGGCCTGCGGGGTCTCTGGGTCTCCACACAAAGAAAGATAGTAGCTTCTGTGGCATCCCTTCCCGCCACCACACGGGGAGTGGAGCCTGTGTGGCAGCGCGAGTTGCCCCACACCAGGGCGCCCAGGGCCACGGCAGGTGCGGGCTGGCATGTCTGTGCCCCAGCCTTGCCTCGCGGGGCTGCCGGTCCCTGCCACACCCAGCCCTCGGTTCCCCCTCTTGCCACGTTTCCCCTCTTCGGTCACTTGTGCTGCTGTCACTGTTGTTTTGTTTTTGACACCTAATGGCCCTGCGCATTTGCGGGGTACAGTGTGCTGGTCCGATATGTGCGCACATTGTGTAAAATCCAATCCACACAACCAGCAGCTCATACATTTTTTTTCCCCTAACATCTACTTAAAATAACTTGTACTTTTTAAATTTTATTTTAACGATGTGGGGTACAGTTCAGGATCAGGTATATAAGTGATCACCGTACAGGTAAAGTTTGGGCCTCCCTTCATGGTGAGGACGTTCCAAATCCTTCCTCCAGCTATTCTGAAATGTACAACACTGTCAACATCCAGGCGACAGGACATGGGACACCCGGACTTAGTTCTCCTCTCAAACTGTGACAACAGCAGGAACCCTACCAGGACCAAGTCCTCTGCAGCTCAAAGGAATGACAGAAAGACTCACTACCACAACCTGAGTAATTCTTTTAAAAATATTTTGGCATCTCCATGTAACACCTGGCCAACCCTATGGCTGTAAGATACTGGCTACCTGAGGACTAGCTTTATCCTGTAAAATGTGGGACGTTTACACCCGAATTCACAGGGTCACCACTAAGAATTTCTAATGACCAGGCTTTTTTCATAGATTTTTTTTCCTCATAATGGCAAGATTAAAATTCGCATAACCCCTGCAGACCTAAAACAAGATGTATACGAATTCAGACTAAATAACGGACTTCCCAAGACAAGACTCATAAAACGGTGTGAAGTGTGTTGTCAATCTGTCCATAATGATTTTTAAATGGGCCCCTCAAGAACATACAATTTGACTCTGCTAATTTCCCCGCGGCAGATGGCTCCCGTGATGTGTGAACACGCAACACAGAGTCAGCGTTCCCATGATCCTCAACGTGCTGCCCTAAAATAAAAGATAAGTCCTTAGAATGAACAGCAAGCCTTCTATCAAGATTCTGTTTTCACGTGGTGCCCTGAGTCGGTGTGATTAGTTTTTAACGCACTGCTCAAGTCCAAAGCTATTTTTAGCTCTAGCTTAACAACTCTAAAACACTTGAAAAACTTGGTAAGAAAAGACTGTTGGCCGGGCCTGTGGCTCACGCCTGTCATGGACCCGTAGCTCATCCCAGTGCTTTGGGAGGCTGACGCAGGAGGATTGCTTGAGCCCAGGAGTTCAAGACCAGTCTGGCGGTGTAGTGAGGTATACTTTTCTCTACAAAAAAGTTTAGGGCAACCCCTTCAGGTCCCCTCCCACTGTGGGAGCATTTCTGTCCTCTCAATAACTCCTGCTTTCTCAAAACAATTTTTGTTAATTAGCTTGGTGTAGTGGTGCACACCTGTAGTTCTAGCTACTTGGGGGGCTGAGATGGGAGGATGGCTTGAACCCAGGAGTTTGAAGCTGTGGTAAACTGTGATGGCCCCACTGCACTCCAGCCCGAGCAACAGAGCAAGACCCTGACTCTTAAAAAAAAAAACTAAACCAAAAAAAGTTATTATATACAAATAGTGGGGGGGAATTCCTGAACTATGACCACAAACCCAAGGAAGCCAGTGCCTCCCATCAGCACTCAGTGAGCGTATGCCAGTGTGGCTGCCCACGGATGGACGGTCCTGGCAGGCCACCCGGGGGCAACGGCTAGGTCCTAGGCCATCTGCAACGCCACTGCACATCTGTCTCTTCCACCCCCTCCTAACATCCCCAGGCTCGCTCCCAGTTAAGATGTAAACTTCTTAATCTAAATTCATCAGCTGGGCAACTTGGTGAGACCTACTCTCTACAATAAATAAATTTTAAAAATATAGCCAGGCACGGTGGTGCATGCCTGTGGTTCCAGCTACTTGGAAAGCTGAGGCTGAAGGATCGCCTGAGCCCAGCAGGTCGAGGCTGCAGTGGCTCCAGCCAGGGCGACAGTGAGACTCCGACTCAAAATAAAAATAAGAATAATTCAAAGAGTTCCATCCCACCCTATATAAACAAATGAAATCCTAACTGTAAACACATTCCTTTTATGAAAGGGTTTATCTGATTAACTCTGTTCACAGCCAATACGGTCAGGAAGAAACGTTCCCAGGCTTGGTGCCCAGAGTCCCTGAAGAGAAAGCGCTGCCCACAGAGCAAATGACAATATTCCATCCAAAGCCAGACAGCTTCCCTTTTTATTAATGCTCCAGACGTAAGCTGCAAATGACATTCCATCAGCAAAATGCAAACCTGATCAGCAGGTGTGGCATATGTCGATGTCCCATGGAGTTTGTCACCGTCATCCAAGCACAAAGAGAACACAGGCTCTCTGACCTCAAAAATAAATTCCGTGTTGACATCACTGCATTGTCTAACTAGGAGTGTTTTATGTTTAACAGGAGGAATTATGAATACCCAAGCTCGGTGTAGTCATGACTTCATATTAAGGTATAAATAGAGTTTTTAAGAAATAAACTGTATAATAAAATAAATTTACTTCTGAATCACAGTGCAGTCATTTTCTTCAATCAATAAAAAATACTCCTTGGTTATAAAGCAGCCTCATTCTGCAAACGCATTTCAGGAAAATAGCTTTCGCAATATTGGAAACACCACACTATTTTAAAAAGGCAGCAAAGTGACAGAATTTAGATTTAAAATAGTATATTGCAAAATAGCTCAACATATTATTTCTAAGTACAGAGCAAGTTCCATTCAAAGGATAATTTTAATCTTATAAAGCAAACTGTTCCAATATTTTTGTGTGGTAGTTTGAGGTCTAAGTATTTACAAGGAAAGATGACCCTTGACCCATATAGGACATACACTCCAATACGCATCCACAATGCAGATGTTTTTCATTAGGACGGCTCTCGACATGAAGCTCGGTTTGTTAACATATGCTCAAGAGGAAAATAAGAACGTGACACAGTTCTGTAGCTATCCTAACAGGCTGAACTCCACCACAGCTGAAAATGCAAAAACAGTAACCACAGCAAACACAACAGCGGTTCCATGAGCAATGAGAAAAATAAAACCCAGAAATCATAAACATTTAAATGAATAACTAATACACCCTTCCTAACACATCCTAATTTTCTCTCTTCTGTTAAATACATTTTAAAATTTTTTTTCGTATCCCAGGAGGAAGGATGGCAAATTCTCCACAAAGATAAAAGTGCATCGTGTTTTAAAAGTGCTTCGTGTGTGTTACAAATATATCTAATAAGGACAATAAATCAAGTTTGTGCAAAATATTCTAGTGGTGACTCAACTTCATGAACCTGACTCGTGGGGTTCTTGTCGTTAACCCACGCAATGTGGTCAAGCAACAGGAGCCTGAGATGACACACCTGGTACAGAGGACAGAGCATGGCCCACCAGTCAGGACATGTGCTTTCTGGCCTCAACTCTGTTAACCAGCTGGTTAGCGGCCTGGGTGAAATGGGCATCTCAGTGCCCGGCCACGGGGAGGGCAAAGCCAGACAGCCTCGAGGGCCCCACCGGTGCCCAGGTTCTGATGTGTATAACTGAGGCATTCCGGAATGGAAAATAACTCTACCAAACAATACAAAAGGTACACTAGTCATCCAGTTACAATTTCCTTATTGTACTTACTGGTAACAAGCACAGAAAGAAAGAAAAACTCCCGTGAACATGAACGTTAGCCAAGGCTAGTGCAAACCCTCAAGATTGCAGGACTGGGAGAAATCCAACATTTTGTGCAAAAATGAAACAGAATAGGCAAAGTAACGCATCAGCTGGTCACCTAATGGCACATTTTTTTTCTTCTGAGCCCCAGAATTTTCTTGGGACCTAAAGCTTTAAAAGTACTTATTTTGAAATTGCTTTAAAAGAACCATGATTCTGTGAGGTTACACTTGCGGTTTCGTGAAGGACTCTCTGAACTGCTGTCATGGTTTTTGTGAAGAAACTGTACTTTCCGAATTTAAATAATGGCCACCTAAGGACACCCCTTAGCTGCCACAGACTCTGCTTCCGCCAAGCACACATGCGTCCACGCCCGTCCGTGGCTGAAGTCCACGTCAGCAGCTGTCGCCCACGAGCTTGGAGCCGCAGATGCCCCGGTGGGTGACCCTGCTGGGCCGCACCAGGACGCCATGGTTGGGCCTGCAGGTGAAATAGCGCCGGTCGCCCACTGCGCCATCATTCTTGCCCTTGGCGCTTCGGAGCTCCAGGCCGAGCCAGGTGCCGGGTGCAAAGTCGGCGGGGCCCACATACCGCACAGTGCACATCTCGTTGGAGCTGGTAAGCAGCACCTGGGCACCCTCGCGCAGCCGTGCCTGCGCCTCCACGCCCGCAGCAGGGGTGCCGCTCCAGCTGCGGCGCAGGGCCGGCCGGGACCTGCCCGAGGAAACAGCGGAAAAGCTCAGTGCCAAGGCCACATGCGCCCACATCACGCTCCCGCCACCCACACACAAGTTCATGCACCCGGGTCCCAAACGGGAGTGCCTGGTGTCACAACTCGAGTCTTAAAGATGTCTAAACAGGCCCGGCTCGATGGCTCGGCCTGTCATCCCAGCACTCTGGGAGGCCGAGGCAAGTGGATTGCCTGAGTCCATGGGTTCGAGATCCACCCGGGCAACTTGGCAAGACCTCGTCTCTACAATAAAACAGAAAATAGCCGGGTGTGGTAGCATGCGCCTGTAATTCCAGCTGCTTGGAAGGCTGGCGGGAGAATCACCGGAGCCCAGCAGGTTGACGCTGGGGTGGCCGTGAGCATGCCACCCCAGCCTGAGCGACAGAGTGAGACTACAACTCAAAAAAAAAAATGTCTAAACAGTCGTATTAGAATAGACAGTTGAGACTTGGACAACGGGGGGGAACTGTGAGTGTCCACTTATGCCATACACGGATTTGCTTCCACCTCTGCTGTGCTCCCCCACCCCGGCCACAAGACCAAGCCCTCCCTCCCCCTCAGCTACTCAACGTGAGGATGATGACCTTGACGGTGACCTGCTTCCACCGAGTGAACAGCCAATAGGTTTTATGACTTTCTTAACAGCACTTTCTTTCCTCTAGCTTATTTTCGTACCGTGTGTGATGCATTTAACACACAAAACAGATGTGAATCCGCTGCTCACGTCACCACGGAGGCTTCCGGTCAGCCGCAGGCTATGAGTTGTTAAGCGTGTGGGGAGTCAAAATCCATCCGCGGATTTTCGAGTTTGCAGGGGGTTGGCACCACGTTGTTCAAGGGCCAACTGTTCTCATGTTTAGCATTTAAAATGTTTTTCTCTTCGGGCTGTTTTGATACTATCCAATCTGGATTTAAGATTTCACTTGCAATGCATAAGTCTATGCATGTATTGCTACACACACACACACACACACACACACACACACACACACACACGGATGCTTTTAGTAAAATAGCAATTAGAAAAAAATGCGTTTTTGTCTATTGAACTGCTACCAATTTTTTTTTTTTTTTTTGAGTTGGAGTCTCACTCGGTCACCCAGACTGGAGTGCAGTG